TTCATTACGAAATTTGAAAAAAATCCGGTAAACAATATCGCTAAAATCAGTATAGGGAGGTACAGTTATATGTAAGTAATACCTAAATGTGGACCTTTCAATGCAAATAAAATCCTGCAGGCCAAACACATATTAGAGTATAATTTTATCAACTTACTTCAATTCGTTCGGAAGTATAAAAAACCCTTTGGATGAAAGTCGGAGTTTTTAAGAAATTTAAATATTTGAAGAAACCACTGGTCAAATATTGTGGACTTTAAACAATTTTTAACGCTTTCATTAGCAAAAAATCCTGCAATGAAAAATCGTGCAATTATGAAATTTTAACGAATTTTCCGATGAAAATCCCGCCTGAAAATCGTAGATTTTTCAAAATATTTTTTCAATACCAATGGGTTTTTCAAGGACTGTTTGTGTTCTTAAGATGGTTTGTATTGACAAATCGTTCCACATCCATCAAATCGGCTGACATTTAACGTTCTGAGTGTGTTCTTTATTCACTTGCAGAATATATATTATATTTGTAGAATATATTTCATTTTGAGCCAATAAGGACAAAAGTAAAATTTTCTCATAAAAAAATTAACCGGATAAATTTTCCTTTTTCATTATTTTGGTATCAAATTTTAAAATTGAATTACTGAAAATTAGAGCTAGGTCCACTATTTGGTACATCTCCCTCCAGAATTTAAGTGAAAATTCTGTTTACATAAAAATCTTGTTGTATGTCATTTTTTTTATATATATAGCCTCAATGCTCTTGATATGAGCTATTTGAAGGTTCTAATTGAATGGTTTTCAATTTGTATTTTGGTTAAACACTTTATTTTAAGTTATAGTTTTTTGAAGACTATCATCCTGGCTCCATAGGGTATCCCATGGTGGTTGGTATAAGAAAAATGCAAAACTTAACACCGATTATATTTTTTGATAGATACATAAAGCTTAAGGAAACAAGTAAATCAACATTAAATTTGGCCGGACCGAACATTTAATACCCTCCACCGTAAAGTGAGTGAGGCCGTTATATAGGGCCATACCAAAACGAGAACATCTATGGCCAATTATATACTTCAAGGATTGACATCTATCAAATTTTCTAAAATACCAGGAGCTACAACCCATTACGTACTACAATTACCAATTTCTGGACAAATACGTTAAAAAATGCGCAAAAATAATCAAAACACCGGAGCTAGAACCCATCATGACCAACAAATTCCAATTTTTAGAAAAATCCGTGAAAACATCTGGCAAAAATAATCAAAATACCGAATATCGGGAGGTACAGTTATATGGAGGCTATACCTTAACGTGAACCTATACATACAATTTTTACCACACGAGGTAAAACCCATTGTGTCCAACTAATACCAATTTTTAGACAAATCCGAAGAAAAATGTGGTAAGAATCAACAAAACACTGAATATCGGAAGGTACCGTTTCAATGCTCAATACAAATTGTAAAATCGACTTCGAATTTTATGCTGATTATGAAAATATATACTTTATGGGACCAACGGAATGACAAAGTTAATATACCCTCCTTTCCAAGGTGGCGGTGGTGGTATAAAAACGGAAATCTTCTAAATGTATACATACAAACATATATATATACATATATATGTTATTCAACGTCTCTCTAATATTTATCTTAATAATTTATTATCTACACATTAATTAGCCATATATCATTAGTATAATCTAAAATTCAATAGTTCCCCCCCCCCCCCCCCCTCAAGTACATGTTTTTTACTGCAATGCAAATAATCTAATTAAAATAATAATATATAAAATTATTATTTTAATTGCAAAGAAAAAAGGCAAAAATAATAGATATAATTTTGTCAACATTGTTGGCATAGCAGGCAACCCAATTGTTGTTCCCCCCAAAAAAAAGTCAACAAATTTATTTCGAATCACTGCTATTCAACGCGATGCGTAAACAATATTCACAAATTTTCTATTACATCCATAATGATGTTATTTATTTAAATTGTTTTCGAAAATTACAGATTCAATTTATGTTAGTAGCGTTTATACGGGCATATGTTTAACACATAGTATTTTATAAATACATTTAGCCTCAGCACACACACACACACACACATGTATCTTCGAGTACAATGTGCCTGTTGTGCAAAGTCTATTTATTGTTGGGGTCGTTTGTGTTCGGCTACATGTCCTGCTGGGAATGTTAATGTAAAGGCTTTTTAATGCCAATGTAAAATGATTGCAATTTAATTAGAATAAATTGAAATAATTAATTCAAACATTCGATGTATGGGTGTGTCATTTGCAGAAAAATTCGCAGAATTATTTCCACATACATTTATAGGAAAAATATTTTTGATTATATTTTTAATTGGGGTAAATTTGTACATTATGATAGATAATTATTAGTTGTAAACAGGACATTTTGTGCAACTCGATTGTGTGCCTCCACATAAAAGTACATGCTGGTTTGATATATTTTGAAGTTATTAATGCATGGTGATTCAGAATTCAATGTTCTTGGCAAAATTCATAAGCTTTTTTCGTCACCAATTGTTAACAAAAACCCAGTGAGGAAGGTTCAAAAGTCAGGCGGGGACCTTTTGAATGGTTATCATGGTTTTAGAAAATTCACAATTTGAGAACTATATCCAACTCCGAATCGATTTTCAACAAATTTTATAGAGGCTTTTGTACCTCTAGTACAAAAGTACATTGCTGTATTATACAGCAATATATATACCGGACCGACCAATTTGGGCTAATATTACATATATGGTAAACAATAACCGTAAAATCGGATGATATATAAAAATCTGAACCGAAATCGATATATAAAATCTGAACCCATCTCTAAAAAACTTGGCAGAGGTATTCTCGAGCTGTATCTAATGTCCGGTATCAAATATCATTTTTTGAGTGCATATTACGCATGTGAGGGATTTTAACACAAAATCGGATGAAGTAAATATATGCGAGATATAGCTAAATCTGAACCGATTTTCCCCAAAATTTTAAGTACTTGCTTCAAGGTTGAATTCCTTCGGAAGTACCAAAATTCGGTCCGTTTGTGTTGATATTAACCAGATGATGATCCAATAATCCTCAAAGATATATATGGGAGCTATCTGAACCAATATTGACAAAATTTGAAACACTTATTTCTGAGGTGTATCTGATATCTGGTACCAAAAATCATTGCTGAAGAGTGCATATTGCATCATATCGAATAAAACATATATATCGGAGCTATTGCTATATCTGAACCGATTTTCACAAAGTTTGAAGTACTTTTTTCTAGAATAGATTCAATCGGAATTGCCAAAATTCAGTTAATTTGAACTGATAGCTCCCATTTGATCCACAATGAACCTGATATCGGATAGAGATATATGGGAGTTGTGTATCTAATTCTGATCCGATTTCGATAAAATTTGACCGAGCTCCATATTTACCTGGTACAAAATACCATTTTTATAGCATGCATATTACTAATGTAAGGGATTTAAAAATCGGATGAAACGTTTATATCAGAGCTATAGCTATATCCGAACCGTTTTTCTACAAATTAGATATACTTGGTTCTAGACTTAATTCAGTCGGATGTGCCAAAGTTCATGTCATTTGGACTGACTTTGGTCATTTGGTGCAAAATTAACCCGAAATCGGGAGAAGATATATATGGGAGCTATATCCAAATCTGATCCCATCAAATTTAATTGAGGTATTTTAGAGCTCAATAAGTTACCTGGTACCAAATTTCATTGCTGTAAAGTGTATAATACGAATGTGTGGGACTTAAACATAAAATCGGATGAAACATATATATATGAGAGTTATAGCTGTATCTAAACCAAGTCTCACCAAATTGCATGCAAATTGCAACTTGCATCCAGACTGAATTCGGTCGGAAGTGTCGAAATTCACTTCATTGGGACTCATTGGTGCACAATAAACGTGAAAACTGTCGAAGAAATGTATATGTGAGCTATATCCAAATCTGAACCGATCTCGAAAAAATTGTCAAAGGTTTTTATGAGCTCCATGAGATATTTGGTATCAAATATCATTGTAGCGTCTTAGACGCAAAATCGGATGAAACATATATATTGGAGCTAAAGCTATATCTGAACCGATTTTCACCAAATTGTGCCAAAATTCTGGTCATTTGATGCACAATCACCCCGAAATCGGTTGAAGACATATTGGAGCTATAACCAAATCAGATCCGATTTTCACCAATTTCAATAGGGTTTATCCTTGGGCCAAACAAATATTGTTTGCAAAATTTCATTTCAATCGGACAATAAATGCGACCTGCATTTTGTTCATAAGAATACATGGACGGACGGACAGGCGGATTGATATGAATAAAACGACTCAGAAAGTGATCTTGCTTCCTTCTCCATGTTACAAACAAATGCACAATGACATAATATCATACTTACCACTATGTGGTGTAGTATATAAATATTGGGACCATCAAAATGTAAAGAAAATCGAATATTTATTTCTAATTTTATGCGAATAATTGTAAATCAAAATTTTATCTTTTTATGGGAGAGGAGGTATTAGAAGGTAGGTAGAAGGAGGTATCAAAACACCAAAAGATCGGATCTATTCCTACATGGGGTCTTGCAGAAACCCTCAAAATTCTCTATCACATCCCAGAAGTAGGTGTCAAGATATAGAGTTCTCTTCCTGCCTTTTCAAAGGATTATTTCCCAAGAAATTTTTTGAATAAAATGCCTAATGAAACAAAGAGATTGTATCATTGCGTATTATTTTTTTAATTTTTTTTTGTTTAAACGCACACTATTATCAGAGTCTGAAGCCTTTATAAAATTATATTAATCATAATTTCGAAATTAAAAACTGTTCTTCTGATGACTTAAGAAAATCATTAGGAGGCATCTTTTTTAATTTCATCATAACCCAGAACCAAATTTAATTTTAAAGAACCTAAGTCATTATTCCGCCTCTCGCGAGAAAACGAAAATTTAAATAAACGTTTAACAATTTTTTTATTGAACAAATACATACATTTATTATGACTTCTAGTCGATCAGGGACACAACAAAAAAATATCGATATTACTTCTTCGGAGTTGGTGCAGCAGCTTTCAGCGGAGGACAAGAATCAAGATAGCCACCCTCCATCATGCGATAGAAAGAAACCATGGGATCATAATTGCTGCGATAAGAACACAATTCAATATTTTCTATTAATACCACAAATTATCGAAACTTACGTGTAAAAATTGGCATATTTGTGTTTACGCGGCATATTGTGTAAAACGTTAAATGCCGTCGATGCAGATAATGCCAGGACAACAGCAATGGCGACATTCTTCATCGATTTATAGAAATGCACATTATGCATTGGAAATTTTGGAATTCCCATTGTGATATTTATTCCAGTAGTTCTTATTCCGGTGGTTGTTTGTTTGAAAATGTATTTTGTTTAAAATTTGTGAAGAAAATAATTAAAACATTTGACAATCATTTCTTGGCATAGTAGAATTTCTATGATATTTTTAGGCAAGCACAATGTTTATATTAGGCAAATCTACTTGCGGCAAAGGGTCAACATTTTGAATAATTACAACTCTTATAAAATGTGATTTAAGTGTCCGATTGTCTTCAAAATACACACATCACAATAATTTTACTAACCCATAGTCTGGTGTGAAGAAGGGATATATCGGTCCATTCCTTCTGGTACCTCTCCCACAAACGGTCAACATTTTGAATATCCATGAAAATTAATATCCGATTATATTCAGACTTGGTATATCCCATTATTTTCATTAACACAAGATCTGTAATAAAGGTGGTAGAGATCGGACCATTGCTTCTGGTACCTCCCCTCACAAAGAGTCAAAGTTATGAATAACCAAAACGTTTATGAAATCCAAAATAAGGATGAAGTTCTCTTTATATTTCACACATGCCATATTTCTACTAACACAAGATCTGTTGTGATGATGGGATATATCGGTCCACTCCTGCTGGTATCTTCCCTACAAAGGCTCACAATTGTGAATATCCATGAAGCTCTTAAAAAGCGAAATTAACATCCGATTCCATTTGGACTTGGCACATCTGAATATTTCTATCAACGCAAAACGTTTATGATGATGGTAGAGATTGGACCACATAGGGTTCATGCTTTTGATAAACATGATGCTCAAAGAAACCGAAATAACTGCTAACCCCGTCTGGTACCTCACCCACAAAGGATCACAATTTTCAATACTTTTATCTGTCATAACTTTCGAAACAACTCAGCGATTCTTTAAAGCTTGCTATACCTAAACATTTTTCTCCACCAGAAACATGATATGAAAATGAAATTTATCGGAATTTATGATTTCGCATAAAATTAGATATAAATGTTCGATTTTCTTGTAACTTTGCCCATATCAATATTTTTATCTGTAGAAAAAGTCGATATAATCCATATCTGGCACGTCGCAATATTTATATCATATTTATTTAGGTCCTACGCGAAATGTACAATATTTCCTATTCCCATTCCTTCGGAGCCTACTTCAGTTTGAATAATCATAACACAAATCTAAATATGTATAAGTAATCGAAAATGAGGATATGCATCTGTCGGCAAACCCGACCGATACTTTTTAACTAGTTTTCTTTGAAAAGATTGACCTTTTGTGTAGGAGGTACCTAACTCGATGTAAGATGGACAATAATATTACAATGTACAGAGTTTGGATCAAATCGGATACTTGTGAGCACTGGCCAGACTGACGGACAGACAGAAAGAAGGACGGACGGACGAATACCCTTAGATCGACTCCAAGTGTCCTGAAACGGATTTGGTCCAAAGAGACCTAGGCTCTAAAACTCAAATTTTGGCTTATTTGGCCAAATATGACCCAATTCTGAGTACAAGTAAACTATATTAAAAATGATTAAAACCCGTTATTATATTGCAAGAATTGAGATTTCAAGTCCGACCGTGGAAATTACCCTACTTTCCGAACGAAATCATGTAGGTTGTTAACATCCTACTCAGATGTGTTTTAGTTCTAAAGAATTTTTGGTATTGTAAATAGGCTACATAGGTCCATGATTTGATATAGAACACTTTCATTTTCAAATGGCCCCCATTTAACGGTACCTACCTATATCCGGTAGATTTTTGCAACCGAATCTTGGTGTTTTTGGAGTAATAGGCACCATCTTCTCGGGCAGATAATTAGCTTTAAAGGTCCACATTTTCGTTAAATGGGTCATGTCCGTCCACGTTTTCGTATAGCCCCCATATAATTGTACCTTCCGATATTCGCTATTTTGATAAATTTAGCTACAATATTCACCCGAAGTAATTCACATTTCGTATTCGAAATTTCTAATGGGTACTACAGCCTACTTCTAAAAATTTTGCGTGTATGTCCACTTGTTCGTATGCCCCCATATAACGGATCCTCCCGATATTCGGTATTTTGGTGATGTTAGCGACATAATTCACTTGATTCGTTTAATTTTCGTATTTGAAGATCCTAAGGCTACTACAGCCTATGCCAAGAAAATTCCTTATGCAGATCCACGTCTTTGTATAGTCCCATATAAGGGTTTTCATTTAAGTGGTAGTTTTCGGATTTTTTTTTTTTTGAAATTTTACAAATGAAGGTTGCCTATATTCGACGGACCCATGGCTCTTTGGGCCCATTCCAATCGACGAGGCTTGTCCGCAGGCAACATTCTTTGCATCAATTGAATTATGTACGGGAACAAATGCAAATCAATGCGAATAATCCGTTGTAAAGTGGACCGAGCCATGCCCAACTGCTGAGAACGGCGTTTTTGGGATGTTCTTGGGGACCTCTCAACACTGGCTCGTACGGCAGCGATATTCTCGGCCGATCGCCTTGGTCGACTTTTATATGGCCTCTTCGGATTAGAAAGAGCCTTACCAGCCGAAAATTTTTCGTATAAACGCTTAAAGGTGTTCTTAGAAGGCGCACTTCTCACATTTTTTAATGTTTTAAAAGCACGTTGAGTTTTCACAATTGACTTCTTGTAAATTTCAACTATTTCAGAGCGCTCACGTGGCGGACCCATCTGGCAACACCATAACTTTTGACAGAGATGTCACATCGCTTAATGACATACCGCGTTTGAAGCGTCAGTCCAACCAGATTTTTACCATGAACCAATGCACGCCACGCGACCGCTCTGAAATAGCCAATTATGTCAATTGAAGTCAATTCTGCAAACTCAACGTGCTTTTAAAACATTAAAAAATGTGAGAAGTGCGCCTTCTAAGAACACCATTAAGCGGTTATACGAAAAATTTTCGACTTGTAAGGCTCTTTCTAATCCGAAGAGGCGAAGAGAATATCGCTGCCAGTGTTGAGAGGTCCCCAAGAACATCCCAAAAACGCCGTTCTCAGCAGTTGGGCATGGCTCGGTCCACTTTACAACGGAATATTCGCATTGATTTGCATTTGTTCCCGTACAAAATTCAATTGACGCAAAGAATGTTGCCTGCGGACAAGCCTCGTCGATGAGAATGGGCCCAAAGGCCCCAAAGGTCCGTCGAATATGGGCAACCCTGTATATATATTCATAATGAGCATAAAATTCTAAGTCGATTTAACGATGTCCGCCTGTCTGTCCGTCTGTCTGTTGAAATCACGATGCAGCCCACATTATTTGACGTAGAACGTCAAAATTTATTAGAACAATTTGTGTTGTGTCTAGGATGGTTGGTACTGAAAATGAGATATATCCGTCCACGTTTTGGTATAGTCCCCCCATAACGGTACCTCACGATATTCGGTATTTTGATGAGTTTTGCCACTTTTTTCTAGGGATTTGTCTAAAAATTGGTATTTGTTTGTCATAATGGATTCTAGCTCCGGTTGCAAAAGATTGCATGTATAGGTCCACGATTTGGTATAGCCCCCATATAACGGTACCTTCAGATATTCGGTATTTTGATGATTTTTGCCACATTTCTTCGCGGTTGCCGAAACATTGTATAGTTTCACGTTTTTGTATTGCCCCATATAGCGATACCTCCCGATATTCGATATTTTGATGATTTTTACGACAATACAGTTAACAATTAAATATAAATATTCTTATGGCAAGGAATGTGATTGATTAGGCGGGGTAGGAATGGTTTCCCTTGTTAATTTGCTTCTATCTCCATTTTCACAAAATGGCCAAAACATTGCAAACACTTATGTGTCTGAAGCGTTTTGCTGCTTAAAGTGTGCCACTCCTCTTTATTTATTAAGGACTTGTTAAAGAAAATATTTTGGCCACTCTCCGTTCATTGTCACAAATCGCTTCTTATTTCTGGAAGAGGTCAGAGCAGAGTAGCCGCCGCCACCGTAACATCATTTCTGTTTTAGACACTCTCCTTTGACATTATTTCCATTACCATTGTCCGAAATCGTTATTGTTTTTCTCCACTCCGTTCCTTTTGTCTCTAATTAACTAATCAAGCATATCGCCTTTGTTACTTCGACTCTTTGCCGTTGTCGTTGCCGCCCAAGACCCTCAAAGTGACCGAAGAAAAAATAAATAAAATAAACTGCCGGAAAAAAAGGTTTTGACTTTTCGGGCCACGCGAGTAACAAAGAATTATGGTTTCATGGGGCATGAGGTATGACAACAAAGCAAGGCAACAACATCACGAAAAAAGAAAACAACAACAACAACACCGATGAGTGGAAACAAATCCAATAAGGATTGCCACTGTAAGCTTAAACAAAACAACAACAACAAAAAAGATTTATAAAACTAAAAGAGGAAAAACCGATTGAAGACAAAAGCAGTAGTCGCTACAGCAGCATATAAACAATAAACGAAGCGACAGGCAATTGACTTCGGGGCGGATTTTTTTTCGTGGAAACGGGGGGTGGGTAGGTTATAGTGCAGCAGCAGTAGCTTTGTTGTGATTTTATGCCAAGTAAATGATTTGAAGGGAAAAAAGCCACTTGGCCAGAGCATAGATGAAATCTGCAAAGTATTTTGCGGCAGCTGCTGGCGGAGGATTTATGTTTTGTGGTCATTATGGACAAAGAATCGATTAAGATTCTTATCGTTTTGGTGGCAACAAAGGGCAAGTATTTACAAAACCAAAGCAGATCTGCGCCGGAGATTTCTTCACATAAGCTTTCGAGGCGGTAGCACAAAAAATACAAATACAATGGAAAATTTAAAAAGGATAAAACGTTGAAAGAATGTGTTTTTGTTTTTAGGGAGTAGGAAATATATTCAAAAATGATTATTCTCAAAATCACATTTTTCACCTTAAGCAAATATTTTTGCAGAGACAATATATCAGTTTGTTATTATTATTCAAATTGAATACTATCTCGGCATTTCTCCGCGATGAAAATGATGATAATCATTTAACTGCTACGCAATTCCATAAGCGGATTATATAGCACGTGGCATGAAAAGTCTCAGTCTTGCAGAAAATTCTTAAATCAAT